GGGAACGGGGAACGGGAATGGGAACCGGGAATGGGAACCGGGAATGGGAACGGGAACCGGGAATGGGAACGGGCCAGAGAACGGAAATGGGACAGGGCCGGGAACGGGACCCGAACCGGGAACAGGGCAGGGAACGGGGCCTGCACCGGGGCCCCAGCCCAGGCCCCCATCCCGGTCCAGACCCCAAGGCCCACCCCAGACCCCCCGGTCTGGCACCAAATCCAGCCCCGGAGCCCCGGGCCGGCCCCTCCCGGTGCCTTCACCCCGTTCTGCCGGGCGACCCCTCGGGCAGGAGCTGCAGGAGCCCCCTAAAGCCCCTCGGGAGCAGAAACCTTCATCATCACCATCATCATCATCATCCCCCGGAGCCTCCCGGGACAGGGAACAGCAGCATTCACAGAGGGTTAGAAAAATAACAATTGCTTTATTAGGAAGTTAAACTCAAAGGACAGGAGGAAGCTGGAGAAATGTGTTTATTGCAGATTTCCAGCCACCACAGGACGCTCGCAGGGAGGTCAGGGCTGCCCGGGATGGGATGATCTGCCCCGGGTGCAGGAGAACTGCCCGTGCCACCTTCCAGCCTCTGCAGCCTTTCCCTGGAAGCTTTCCTCCTGCCACAGAGGCCAGAGCTGTGATTCCCGTCGGGACACGGAGCACCCAAGGCTCTCCAGCAGAGCTGTGGGGTCCGGCTGCTCTGCCAGGGGGTTGGGAATAAAAATAAACAGTCTTGGTCCTTTCCTGCGTGTGGCACAGAGGCAACGCAGAGCCACGGTGGCCTCGGATTTGGGGACGGACAAATCCCGTTCCCAAAGCTCGGCACAAACTTGCAGCTCCTGCTTTTTACCGACACTCCTCTCTTTCGCCCAAGGCTTCTCCCTGCTGTGTGTCCTTCCCTGCCTTGTCCCTCTTGTCAGGCTGAGTGTGGCCAGGGATGCTCTGTTCCGGGACAGAACAGCGCTGACACACCCAAGCCCAGCAGATGGGTGACCCCTGCCCGCCCCCGAGGGGGCACCTCTGGGGTCCTCCCACCTGGAGGGGCCACTGGAGCAGAAAATGTCACTGGAGTCTCCTGTCGAGGTGGCCTCTCCCCCCTCAAGCCAAAGCAACTCCCCTTGAGCACTCTGATGGAAAAGGAACCACAGAAGCCTCCGAAATAGAGGAAGCTGAGTAAATCCAACACTTGAGAGCAAAGCCAGGGCTGGTGCTTTCCGTTTCTGCTTTCCTCTTTTAGGACAAAGAGGAATGGGTACAAACTGAAACGGAGGAAGTTAGATTGGGTAAGAGGAAGAAATCCTTCCCTGGGAGGGTGGCAGGCCCTGGCACAGGGGGCCTGGAGAAGCTGTGCCTGCCCCCAGGTGTGTCCAAGGCTGGATGGGGCTTGGAGCAGCCAAGGGAAATTGTCCCTGTGCATGGCAGGGCTTGGAGCAGCCAAGGGAAATTGTCCCTGTGCATGGCAGGGCTTGGAGCAGCCAAGGGAAGGTGTCCCTGTGCATGGCAGGGCTTGGAGCAGCCAAGGGAAGGTGTCCCTGTGCATGGCAGGGCTTGGAATGAGATGGACTTTAAGGTCTCTTCCAACCCTTAACGTTCTGAGATTCTGTTTTGGCACTTGGGATGGAAGATGCACACAAAGGTTGTGTTTCACTGAACGCTTTCTGTTCGACAAAGAAAAGAATCCCTGGCATTGATTTGCTCCAGGCCAACATAAATATCAGAGATTGTGAAAAAGCCACGAATGAGGGCCAATGTTCACATCAGCTAATGTGGTCCTGGCACATTTGTGGGATTAGGCAATGGATTTGCTCTTCCTGCTCATGGCTGGGAGGCTGCTGAGCAGGATATCACCAGGGAGCAGCTCCTTGGCAGAGCCACAGCGCAGGGACAGCCTCGGCAGGACGTGTGTGCCACCTCCCGCCCGGGCAAGGGCTGCTTCACACACTTCACTCCCCCATAAAACAAGTGCAGGAAGGCAAACCCGGCTGCTGCAGCTCGGGAAGAACACAGCTTTCCCTAGGCTGGATTTAAAAAAAAAAAAATAAAATAATTAAAAGCAAAATCAATAGAGCACCGGTTTGCTGTGCAGCTCTTTGTGTCTGTCAGGGAAGCACAAGGGTTCTCCAGCCCCGGCAGAGCTCGGCTGGGCTGCAGCTGACAGCAGGGTCTTCCTAGTGACAACTGGAAAGCTGCTGCTGTTGTGCTGCTATTGATCTAAGCAGAATACAAAACACCTGAAGTCAGCAGGGAAAAATAGCTGCAGTTGGAAAAGGAGCGGTGGGGGGGAGGACAGGGAGGGGAGAGCAGGTAAGAAGTTCTCCATGCATAAAATGAAAGGCCGGGGTTTTATTGCAGCTCTCTTGCCTGACTACAGCTGGATCGATGTGCAGAGCAGGAATGGTGCCATCATTGTTTGTGCGAGCGCTCCTTTGAGGAGAAACAAAAGGGCTGGCCAGGGACCGGCCCCCGCTGGCTCCTCTGGCCCCTGGCAGGACCAGGGGCCGTGTCCCTGCTCTCCTGGAGCTGCCCTGGGCTTGTCCCGGAGCCCGGCGGGGCTCGGGGCACGGGCCGGGAGCAGCCGCGGCTCCGTTCGGCAGCGCTTCCTTGGGAACCTTCCCTGCTGTGACAGCTCCAGCATCAGAGGGACTGCCAGGAGCCAGGCACTCCAGGAGGAGATCCCCTCCCCCTCCTGCCACCGACAGCCGAGGAGGAAATGTCTGCAAATGTCACCGGGCTGGGGCTGACGGGGGACACCAGCCCCGTGTCCCTCCCCGGCCCCGCAGCCTCCGGTGGCTCGGGAACCAAACCCGCCCTGGGGGCTCTGCTCACACCCCCACGGCAGCCCAGCCTCATTCCCCTCCCCAGGAGCGGCCCCGAGCTGCCTGAGGGCTGGCCATGGTGATTCCTCAGAAATCCAGGACAAAGCCCAGCTCCTCTCCAGGCCATAAAGGGGGTCCCATCTCCCCTCCAGTGCAGCAGCTCCAGGGCTGAGCTCCACAGCAGCAGATTCCCGACACCCTGCTCCTGTGCTGCTCCCAGGACCCAGCAGATTCCCAACACCCTGCTCCTGTTCTGCTCCCAGGACCCAGCAGATTCCCGACACCCTGCTCCTGTTCTGCTCCCAGGACCCAGCAGATTCCCGACACCCTGCTCCCATCCTGCTCCCAGGACCCATCCCCAGCCCGCTGCAGTTCTGTTGCTGGCGCTGCCAACGGTTCCATCAGAGAAAAGTGAATTTGTCAGTCAGGCTGTTCCTCCCCCCACATCCCAGAGCATATCCCTCCTCTGCCTCCTCAACCCAATCCTCTCATCCAAATGACAAATAAAACTAATTTTCTGGGTCCTTCTACCCATTTCCACCCACAATTCAAACACACAGCTTCCAACCACTCACTCCAAGAGCTGACCCAATTAGCTGATTGCCAATTCCAGCTATGGATGCTCATTGCTTTGTTACAGCAGAGCTGCCTTTTAAAGCAATAATTTATATCAGACAGGATTTGAAACGAAGAGGCCTCAAAAGACCTTCGGCTGAAAGGTGTCCAACAGGAATTTTTAAGGGAAGAGTTCAAATGGATTCTGAAAATACCAGCCTGGTTTTGCAGCTCTCCCTCAAGGCCTGCAGCTTGCAGAGCAAGGAAATGTTTGGGAAGTTTTGCAGCAGGGACCTGGAGGAAAGAGCGAGTCTGTGAAATCCTTTAGCAAAGGAACATCTCTGGGGGCACAGGCTGGTGCTGGACACGCCGTGCAGGGCAGGGAATGTGACACAGGGACATCTCAGGAAGGGTGACTCAGGCAGGTGACCTTGGCTCCGTGACCCAGGCCAAGGGACACGGCAGGATGGGCTCTGTGCCTGTCCCTGGCTCCAGCAGGGGCCTCAGCAGGACTTGAGAGTTCTCTGAGAAAGCCCCTGAGCCCTGCAGGATCCGCTGCCTCCCCTCCTCCCCAGCGCTGGCAGCTCCAGACCCGCTCCCAAACCTGGACACATCAACCCAGCACCGACTCCGTGGCCACCGCGGCTCCTGGGCACGTTCTGGGCACGCCAGCCCTGTTCCCACGCCAGTTCTGGGGCCTCTGGTCTCTGAGGAACAGCCAGCAGCTGGCCCCAGCAGCCCACCCTCCACCCACCCTCACACAGCAGAAAGGTACAACAAAGCCACAAGGATCCCCAAACAAAACAACACCAAGAAAGAGCTAGAACAAAGAATTGTTTAATCGCTTAACCCTTTCTCTTCCAGGGACCAGAGAAACAAGTTTTCTGCTCCTTCTAATGAGGGCAGTAAGGCTCGTGTGTTACCTCTACAACTGCAGGGGCAAAGTTTACGAGATGATCGTCTTTAGTACTCAAAAAAGCGAGAAGCAATGGTCACTGCAACACTAAGAGAATCCTAGAGTCTCCTAACGGAGAGCCCATTGCTAGAATACAAAAATAAAGGAGGCATCCCTGCATATCCCAGGCTAGAAAGAGTTAACCAGAAAGAGCAGGAAGAAGCTTTCCCAAAGAGGGGGTTGAAGTAAACAGCAGAGGTCAATAAAGCAACATCTTCTCCTGACTTCCCCAGCATGTTTTTTTCCTTCACCAATAAATACAAATTCCTTGTTAACAAGCGACAAGCAGGTAATCTGCCCACAGCAAGGGGAAAAGGGGCTAGAGGCAGAAAGGTTTTTCTCTCCCCTTCTCTCCTATTATTATTAATCTTCGTTTTTTTTTAACCAAAGCAGCCATTAAAAACAAAGCAACCCACTGCAGAGGCAGGAAATCTGGTTGCTTTCACACTGCAACTGGCAGGTAAAAGAGCTGCACTGTCTCACAAGGGTAAAAAAACCCAAAAAATAGCTGCCACAGCAAAAGGTGAATGGGAAGGGAGAGGTCTGTTCTCTTTAGAGCTTTCCATCTCAGTCTCTCAGTTTAAAAATCAAAGTCTGCAGACGTTGTCTACTGAAAGCTGAAAAAAAAGTTTGAGTGGGAGGAGAAGAGGGGGGAAAAAAAATAAAAAGAAGAGGATGCATCTAGTAGGAAGCCTTAAGCAAAAGAAGAAAAGGGCAGACCATGTCAGAAAGCCACCCAAGTGAGGAGAATTTTCTGCTGCCTCTGGGCTTGGAAGAGCAGCAAATGCCCGGGGTGCACCTGGCTACGCTCCCGGCCAGGTGAACTCAACAGTCACAGGTACTGCGTGAAAACAAACAAACAAACCTGCCCCAGGAGCTCAGGGACACCTGGCCCAGGTGAGCTGTGCCTCAGCAGGACAGGGGAGGCTGATCCTGCCACCAGGGCTGGGCAGAGCACACGGGGAGCTGGTCCCTTTGAGGGGCACCCACGGCAGCGGGGCGAGCCGGGGCCTCACCCTGGGACAGAGCGGGCAAGTGTCTGTCAGAGGGGCACCCTCGGGGCTCAGCTCTCTCTCCGTGCAGGGAACAGAGTCCTTGGAGAGATGCTGCCAGCTGACCTCTCTCCCTCCTCGTCTCCAGGATTGTTCTGGAAGGCAGAGGCAGCCCTGGCTCAGGCAGCCCCGCGCAGCTGCGCTCAGCAGTGCCTGGCAGCCAGGGGAGGAAAGGGAGGCCTCTCATCTTTCCACGGCAGCAACAGGAAGACCAGGGATTGCACCACATGGAAGAACAGCACACACACATGCACACACACACTCCCAGACACACACCTCACACCCCTGGGACCAAGGCTAACATGTTCAGACCTTCGGCAGGAAGAGACACGAGACAGCGCAGAGCGGTTCAGATCTCCAGGGGCTCTTTGGTCTTAGTTGATAGTCCTAGAAAAAACAACCTGCAGAGGTGGTTGTAGCACAGCTGTGTAAGATCTGTGGGGTATTTAGTGTTTGGCAACGGCAAGAGGGGAAAACAGGGCTGTGTGTTACAGGAGGGGGAAGGAATGGAAGTATAGTGCTGTGTTTCCAGGTGTGCTCCTGGCTTTGCAGCCCGTCAGGGTGTGGGCAGTGGGAAGAGGAAGGAGGGTTCCTGAGAGGACCACAAATCCATCTGATGTTACAGCAACAGAGGCAGGGAAGGCCCACCTTGGCCAAGACAGAGCAGCTGGCTGTACAGAAATGCTGCCTGTGACAGCTGCAGCTTGTAGCTGCATTGTTCACACAATGACAACGCCCTCAGCTCCTGCACAGGTGATGTGCACAGGAGAAAGCAGACACAGCTACACACCTTGGGCCATGGAGAGGTGCTGTCACCTGCCCC